CTGCCCCCTTCCGGTCACATGGCCGACCTGGTTACTCCTGCAACCCACAGCTGAGCTGCCCTGGTGATTGGCAGCTCCTCCAATCCCTACTCAGGAACGGGGCACCCAAGTGCCCCCGTGACAATGACACAGAGAAGTTACAGAATTTATCCAAAGATAAGGAGAAAATTAATTACAGAAACTGTTATTAGAATTCAGGAGTCCCTTGTGTCCAGTCTTTTAAACCCCCCATGCTATTGCAAGCTGTTTAGCTTAGTACCTTGCATCTTTCCAAGTTTTTTTTTTTTTTGTATTTTGTGCCTAAAGAACCCAACCAAGATTGGGAACACACCATAGGAAACAGTCTGTGCCCTGATGAGCTTGCAGTGATCATATGATCTTTTTCTCTGGATAAGTAACATTTCTTCTACTCACAGAGCTAAATTGTAACCATTTTATACCAGTATTTCAAGTGCAAATTGATTTTCTTCCTACCTTTTTTTCTTTGAGAAGCTGACAGAAATAGCCTGATTATCATAGAATATTACTGTTTACTCAGATCATATTTTTAGATTGAAAACAATGCCATATTTTCTAGCATATCACATGCTGCACAAATAAGATACGCACCTTGTTTTTGGAAGGTAAAATGTAGAAAAAAAAGATTTTTCCAGAGTCATGGCTTACTGTGTGACACAGAGTAAGTCCTGTTGGAAACATGGTGTGTCCAGGAAGTGTGACATCTCAGGAGACAGTCTGGGTGAGGTAGCAGGAAATTCCAGGTGTGGCAGGACAGCAACAAGCATAGGCCATAGACCATCACAATGGCAATAGCAAAACTGTTACTGCTTTCCTGCAGCGGCAACACATAGGGGGTGCACAGGGGTGCGTGTGCACCCCCTGAGAGCACTGGTGTACCCCCTTACCAGCCGTGCTCCCCGCTTAGGCAATGGGTGGGGGGGCAGGCAGGAGCACTGGTGCCCCACCTGCAAGTGCTGGCCAGGACGTGGGAGCGCTGGATGTAGGCCACTTCTGGGAGCAGCATGGCGGCTCACCGATTGGTAAGTTTTGCTGTGGGGGACACCCCGCCGGTCAGCGAGATTGGCTGTGAAGGGACTCCCCCTGGTTGCTGACTGGTCACTGGGGGGGGGGGGAGGGGCCGGGACATGTGCCCCTCGACTAAGGTGGCACCAGTCGCCCATGCTTTCCTGTAAATAGTTCTTTATGTAAGTGCTTGTAAATAATAAATGTTTCCACACCACAAGCCTCATCAAGACACTACAGACTGCAGGCAGCAGCTCATTTGCCCTAAACTAGCTCAAGTTTTGCCTTCAGCCACAAGATACAGTGCCCAGCCAATAGCTATGAGAGGGTTAACACAGAACTCCACCTCTTCTGCTAGTTGGGTGAGAGACAAGTAGCAGTAATTAAAGCACAGCATCTGTTTGTATCTATACAAGCAACGAAAAATCAGCTTCCCAGTATAAGACATGCACCACAATTTTGGAGGGCTGATTTTTGGAGGGTGTGGGTATTATATGAATAAATTTGGTAACTCTATAGCAATACACTTACAGGGGTGTTTTCAAAGGCACAAATAAGTGTTACAAAATTCATTCTCAGTTGTGTGTTTGTTTTTTTAAATGTTCCCCTCAAGAACTAATTGGTAGAAACTGACCCACACCCATCATCAGTGGAGCAACACAAACATAATTACCTGGGAATTAAGCCTACCCACTGAGAATGTGTGTGGAATGAATGGAAATCAGCCGGCCATTCTGCTGGTATTCTCTTGCTCCGCTCTTTTTTTCTAGTTTTCAGCTAAAACAAAAAAATATATTTTTTGATTAAACATATAAAGTCTCTGCAGGGAAAAAAGTGAGAAGGAATAATATTTGCAAAAGCTGATAAGACATATACCTGGTCAAAAAAATATATGGGTCCTGGCTCCAGGATTGCAGCTGGTGGCATTGTTTCCATTAGTCCTTAGAGTGAGGAACAGGTAAACAATCTCACAAGAATGCAGTTTTACCAACAGGAAGCGGGAATTAAAGTTGTAGTACTTGTACCCCTTACCCCTGTATAATTACAGTTAAATTATTTCTCTAATTGTGAGACCCTGAAAACCTGCTTCATATAATGAAGTTATCACCTTAGGAATAAGATAAAAACATTATTATTTTTTAATGATTTAGCTATTTAAAACATATGAAACTTTAAAAAATTCAAAATACAAATTAGTTATATGTTCCTGTTCATGTTACTCCCAACTAGCTCCAGAACTTCTTTGTGGCATATTATCCATGATAACGTCTGATGAAAGAAAGTATTCGATTTAGTTTAATATCTGAAAAACAGGCATGGCTTTGCAGTAGGGCAGATGAATAGGCAGTTTTACATGTACATTCACTGTGCCCTTTGAAAATCTGTCATCAAAATAATATTAAGGTTATAATGCAAACTGACCCAAGATACAAAATTTAAAACTAAGACTCAGTCTTAGTGAAAATGGAGCGTGCCAATGGTCATGATTTAGGAGAATAGGCTGCCAGCATTAAATGTGACTGTGCTGGCTTGTCACTTTGAACTCTGATAGCTGATACATATTTTGTGTATGCTTTAACTAAAAGTTTTGAAAAGGAACTTTTCAAAATTAAAAAAGCTAGTTATTTTGATCTTGCTACCAGCTTAACTAGCTTTACCAATACATACAGCTCCCAGACTTAAAGACTGTTTTAATTAAAAAAGCTGGTAGCAGTTTTTCTCCTTTACCCTCTTAGAAAGAGCCCCTCTCTCTCTTTTTATCAATATGAGCACAAAAAATATACTTTCCATTCAAATGTAAATGTGGGTTTTTTTGCCTACTTCCCATTTTTGGAGGCTGATGTTAAAGCTTTTATTCATGTAAGTAGTCCCATTAGCTCCAGGGGCTACAACATGTAAGGTGCTATAGGCTTGAACCCTGGGTTTGGGAGAAAAGTACTAAAATGTCATGAAAACGTAATTGAATGAAATTAGCAACAGAAATACATATGATAAATTAATATAGCTACCACATATTCATATTCTACTTCAGACTGTCTCTTCCAATAAATAAATGATGGCTTCATTAGGAATCCACCTAATCTGAATGGCCATTTCTTAGCATATATATATAAAAAAAAAAAAACCACACACATAACATACCCTGCAAGAAGCTTTTCCCTGCAGATGGGAACGTCTTTCACCAGCAAAGTGATGCAAATGTAAACTGCCTCCTTAGAAAAATGGAAAAGGAGGTGTGTCTGTGTGCTGCTTTTCAATACAGAGTTTAAAGTTCTGTTGCTTAGCTACCACATGCTTTGGTCTGCATTCAACTATAATTCCTTTTCTTAATTGTTCCAGCCACTGTATGCTTCTCTCCGCAAAGCTGTTTAGGGGAAAAAAGGCACTCACTGAGAAAAAGATTCAGTCTTCCCAATCCAAAAAGTGTTTTTATTTACCTCCACAAGACTCTGCACTGGCCTTAATACCAATATAATGCTATATTATTACATGTCTCATATCATAGAATCATAGAAAATTATTGTTGGCAGGGACCTCAGGAGGTCATCTAGTCCAACCCCCTGCTCAAGGCAGGACCACCCTCGACTAGATCATTCCACCAAAAGCTTTGTCTAGCTGGGTGTTGAAAACCTCCAAGGTTCATATCATATCATATCATATCTGAAAACATTGAGTTGTATCATTAATGAATCCTAAATACTAATTAGGAGGAAA